CCCCAAAACCCCAAAACCCCAAAACCCCAAAACCCCAATTTCAACATCATAAATGAAATAACATTTATATAATATTACAAGCGATAAATGAAACTAACCATAGTTCTAATTTCTATTTTAATGCTTTGCTTAGCCAGCTCTGAGGAGAATAACAGGCCAGTGATAGCAGTCCTAACAATTCCAATGACCTATAATTTAGATCAAGATACTGACTTGGGCGCTGAAGGTGCCTTCATCCATTCTCAGTATGCCAAATTCCTTGAAAAAGCAGGAGCAATGGTGGTTCCAATCCATTCTAATTCTCCCATCGAGGACATACATTACACTCTAGAGCATGTAAATGGAGCTCTTTTTACAGGAGGAGCACTTCCATTTATCAATGAGGATGGAAGCTTGAGTCCTTTCGCAGCTGCAGGAAAAATCATACTTGATAAAGTAAAGGATCTTAATGATAATGGAGTTAATTTCCCTCTTTGGGGAACATGTATGGGGCATCAACTAATCCTTATGCTTGAAAGTAATAGATCTGATGCTCTTAGTTCATGCCCATCTTCACATACGCTAGATAATTTAATTTATCAGATGGACGATATTACTAAATCTGATCTCTTCGGATCATTCCCAGAGTATCTGATCAAAGCCTCTCAGGAAGACAAATTGACTGCAAATTTCCATCATTCTGGAGTAGATGCTGCTAGATTCACCGGAGAGCTTGAGTTATCCAAAACTGTAAATCTCCTTGCTACCTCTCTCGACATTAACGGAAAGCCATACTCAGCAATCACAGAGTTCAAAGACTACCCTATCTACACCGTTCAATTCCATCCAGAAGTCACTGAATTCACTTTCTCCTACAACGACACTGACCACTCAGACAATGCAGTTGAATTCATGTTCCTAATGTCCCTAAAATTCATCTCTGAGGCCAAAAAGAACACTCAAAGCTACCCTTCCCATTCAGATTTAATCTCGAACCTAGTTCAGACCACGGGTCAAGCCAAGCTCAGTAGTAAGTCTTCTTTTCATTTATATCAAAACTCATTTTTTTGCTTAAAATATTAATCTCTTCTTCATACTTTCTTCCTAATCTTAACGTAAACGGGACGATTTCAAACGTACTAATAACGCATAGGTGGTGGTGACTTCAAAGACAATATATATTTCAACACTGAACAAATAAGTTTGATTAATCAGTAGTACCAATTTCAGTTCGGAATAAAACAAAAGGGGTTTTGGGGTTTTGGGGTTTTGGGGTTTTGGGG